GACATAACCCTGTAACTTTATATAACCTGTCACTTGACAGCCTGTCTCCTTGACAGCCTGTCCCCTTGACAGCCTGTCCCCTTGACAGCCTGTCCCCTTGACAGGCTGTCCCCTTGACAGCATGTCCCCTTGACAGCCTGTCCCCTTGACAGCCTGTCTCCTTAACAGCCTGTCCCTTGACAGCCTGTCCCCTTGACAGCCTGTCTCCTTGACATAGCCTGTCTCCTTGACAGCCTGTCCCCTTGACAGCCTGTCTCCTTGACATAGCCTGTCTCCTTAACAGCCTGTCCCCTTGACAGCCTGTCCCCCTTGACATAGCGAATCATCCATTATTTCAGTAAGACCTTCCAAGACCTCTAATCAAAAACACTTTTATCACCTCCTTTCATAAACATAGTTCGTTGGCGACCTCTAACGACCGTTTTAGAAACAAACTTTCCGGCAAAATATCTATTAGCCAATGGGATAGCATCTCTTTCAAACAATCAGCCAATAAGGCGAGACGCAGAATATTACCCCAATGGGATAACGGCTCTTCAAGCATGAACTAACCAATGAGGGCCCAGGAAAAGCCCGCCAAATTATGACTCAGCGCGCGGGCATTTCTTCCCGCGCTCTCACGGAGACCTTGTCGGCCCCTGTTGGCGCGCGCGGGAATGCAGTATAAAGTCTCTGAAATACATCTTGCTCGTCAGCAAGGAGTTAGTCACCACTTATGTCACTTTGGAAGGCAACTTAAGGGGTCTTATTTTCGGGTTTCTCCTCCTCCCTCCACCTAACTCTTCCCTCCTCTTCCTCCTCCCTTCACCCCCCTCTTCTCTCCTCTTCCTCCTCCCTCCACCCCCCTCTTCCCTCCTCTTCCTCCTCCTCATCCCTCCACCCCCCTCTTCCCTCCTCTTCCTCCTCCCTCCACCCCCCTCTTCCCTCCTCTTCCTCCTCCTCATCCCTCCACCCCCCTCTTCCCTCCTCCTCCTCCTCCCTCCATCCCCCTCTTCCCTCCTCCTCCTCCTCCCTCCACCCCCCTCTTCCCTCCTCTTCCTCCTCCTCCTCCCTCCTTCCTTCCACCTCCTCCTCCTCCTCTGCTTGATGAATGTTGTTGTTGTTTAAGATCCCTTACCTGGAGCAAAAAGTTGCAAGTAGCACGGGCTATGGTGATCCCGTAGTTGCTGGATGACATGTGGTGTTGGAGTATATAAAAGTCTTGATGCAGTAATGGTTAACAAAACAGCTTAACTGGGCTCGTATCTGGTTCATATGTGCTAGGATGTTAAGTGTGTATTAATATGTGGCTACAGGGTACAGGTGTTAGCTCCTGGGCCCCGCTTTTCTAACCGTCGGTTGTCTGATGTACTGACTCCTCCATCTATTTTTCTTCAGCCATATTTATTCCTCTATCACACATACACATACATACACAAGCTCAGGAACCTATACACTAGTAGATTGGCAGTTGAGAGGCGGGACCAAAGAGCCGAAGCTCAACCCCCGCAAGCACAACTAGGTGAATACATACACATTATAGGATGCAGCCCGTGGCAGTTGTCTAATTCTCTTGTACTTATTTACTGCTAGGTGAACAGGGCATCAGGTGAAGAATTTCTGCCCATTTGTTTCCCCCCTCCGCCGGGAATCGAACCCGGGCTATGACTCCCGAGCGCCGTCCACTCAGCCACGAGGCCCCCAAACTCAGCCGCGAGTGTGTGTGTGTGTGTGTGTGTGTGTGTGTGTGTGTGTGTGTGTGTGTGTGTGTGGGTGTGTGTGTGTGTGTGTGTGTGTGTGTGTGTGTGTGTGTGTGTGTGTGTGTGGAGGAAAATTTAATATGGTTGAATAAGACAAAGTATTTGGAGAGAGGCTTTTATACCGAGGAGCTGCCCGTAGCAGCAGTCTGAAAACTCGGCAGCCTAATTACTTGTTAACCACACCTGTGAAGTGTTCTTCGATAACGAACAATGGGAAAGAGAGAGTGGGGGGGGAGGGTAGAGAAGTAGAGGGTGGGGGGGGTGGGGTGGGGGGGAGCTGCTTGATCAAAGAACTTATTACCAATATTCAGAATTTTCTGTAACAACAATAATTGTGGGATTTTGAGGGAAATTGAAAATTGAAAGTTTGAAGGATCATTTGGTCGATAATCTCTTCTACAAAAGCTGAAAATAGATTACACACAGACATCACAAGAGCGTGATGCATCAAATGAACACAAATCCACAAGGGCCGTGACGAGGATTCGAACCTGCGTCTGAGAGCATCCCAGACGCTGCCTTAATCGATTGCCTTAAGCTCAGTCGATTAAGGCAGCGTCTGAGATGCTCTCGGACGTAGGTTCGATTCCTCGTCACGGCCCTTGTGGATTTGTTCATCTAAAAATAGATATATAGACTGGTATGAGACCAGTCAACATCATCTTATGTGATGACATAGACACATATGCTAATAACCATTCAGGTATGCAAATCAATTATCAAACCTGCTTTTATATCATATCAGTGATGGTGCAGTATCTAACAAGTCGGCGCTGCTCACTAACTGATAGCGATTGTATAAATTAGTGGTAATTTATTGGTTTAAATACAGTTGTATGCTGTTAAGTATTTTACATATGGTGAAGCCGATTTTTGGTAAAAATCGAAGCCTATGTCAAATATGACAAGTGACGGCTACTGTATGAATGCATGTGGTGGATTTATCATGCTGATCTATAAGGAGGAATGCAGTAGATGCCACTGTAGTAACCCAGTGACTTTCTGAGACGGAACTTAACATGTTTCGTGTTCTTAAGTCAACTGGGAACAGAAACTTAATAAGTCCTCAGGCTAGCAAGTCCCTGTCACTCCTCAGGAACCTGTGTCTCTTTGGGGTCCACATTATTGATGTGGAGAATATAATCAGTTGTAAACACACACACAAACACACACACAAACACACACACAAACACACACACAAACACACACACAAACACACACACAAACACACACACAAACACACACAAACACACACACAAACACACACACAAAACACACACACAAACACACCACACACACACACACACAAACACACACACAAACACACACACAAACACACACACAAACACACACACAAACACACACACAAACACACACACAAACACACACACAAACACACAATACCACAAAATCCCATCAGACAGAATTTCCACACAATTCACACATCAACAACTTCATTTTTCAATTTCTGCTGCTACAATCTCTCACTTGTGTTGTCTTACAGCTGCCAGAGACATCTCTAGGAAGTCTAGACAAGCCTAAGGCCCTTGAGTTCTTCCACATCGAGTCTCTAAGTCATCCCAACTACCCGATCCTCATTGAGGCTCGCACGCCAGAGATTAGAGACTCTTGGCTCTCAGGCATCGAGGAGTACGTCGTTGATACAGGTGAGTGGGATTACGAAGCAATAAGATACTTATCTTAACATACTAAGAAGGTTAGGTAAGGTCGGTGTTTTCTATGAAGCTTTTCAAGGTAAACTAAAATATTCACAATAAATTAGTATGTCACATATGCACTTATTTAATAAGTCAATATTGACTGTATGCAAGTGCGAGAACGGGTTGGGGAGTGGGGTGGGAGTGGGGAGTGGAAGTGGGGTGGGAGTAGTCGTAAATGGGCGGGAGATGGGAGTAGGATGGGAGATATAAGACATCACTGGGATTGCAGTTGATAACGCGTGATTGACAGAGAGTGAATGGCCTAGTCTCTGGGTGATTGACAGCGCGGTAATATACAAACGTTATTTATCATTAGATGGTTAATTAATTTAACGATCTGGTTATCAATCTAATTAACGTACGTATTGACCGTGTGTGTGTGTGTGTGTGTGGGAAGCGCTGCCACAAACCATCTTTGCAATGTAGCATTTCAGGGCGACCTAGAAAGATAGTTTTGCAATAGAAGACAATTTAGACTCCATTTCAAATATTAGTATATATTTTAGATATGTAGTATAACATATTTAAAATATAATGGTGGGATTAAGGAGGAGTTTAGGCAACCTAGTGACCCTTCGAGGACCTGAAATGACATGTTTTTGCTCCCACTACAATCCCTGGGAGAGTGAGGTCGCTGCTCCAAGGCTGACAGGTCCTCCTCGATCTACAGGACTCTGGGCCTCAGTGGAGCACACACACACTCTTTATTGTCTCGTTCTTTAGCCGTGTCGTTGGGTGAGGTCGTTGGTAGAGGCTCTGCTATCTCTTGGAGCTGTATTTATATTTTACAAATGATGTTCTAGTGTTTATTTATAGAAGCTAAAAGTGTCTTAATTCCTTGCATTCGGTGGCATCTATTTTGTGGTTTGTTGCAAGCGCTGATGAATCTGTTTTGTGGTTTGTTGCAAGGGTTGATGAATCTGTTTTGTGGTTTGTTGCAAGGGTGATGAATCTGTTTTGTGGTTTGTTGCAAGGGTTGATGAATCTGTTTTGTAGTTTGTTGCAAGCGCTGGTGAATCTGTTTTGTGGTTTGTTGCAAGCGCTGATGAATCTGTTTTGTGGTTTGTTGCAAGCGCTGATGAATCTGTTTTGTGGTTTGTTGCAAGCGCTGATGAATCTGTTTTGTGGTTTGTTGCAAGCGCTGATGAATCTGTTTTGTGGTTTGTTGCAAGCGCTGATGAATCTGTTTTGCAACGTGTTATTCTGCAATTTTTGGAATATATTCCAAGTGTTGGTCATCTATTATATATCAATTTAGCAGAGCTGTAGACAATCTATAACACATAATGTGAAAAAGTCCCTGTTTATTGTGCCCTGGGACAATGTTTCACACAACATGTGTGTGGAATATAATTTCGCACCTCACACCTTCTCATTTCTCTACAGCATCGGTCGAGGACCTGCTCTTTGACGACGAACTCCGCGTCCTCTCCCAGGATATAGACGAGGAGGACGCAGGTGTCGTATCTCCTGTCCCGGAGGTCCAGGAGTTCGAGGACCTTCCCGAGGACGACGAACTTTCCGATCCGTTCCCCAGAAAGTCTCAAGTGACCATCGAGAGAGAGCCTTCTCCTCCACACAAGAGACAGAAACCCGAAACACAGCCGCTAGAAGGAGTGCAGGAAGCCGCGAAGTCAGGCCCGGAAGCATCTACCCAGCAGAGAGCAGCAGTAGCAGCAGCAGCAGCAGAACCCGCCAGCAGCCCTAAAGCGGCGGAGCAGCAGGCAAAAGGACTTACACTAGAGCAGGTAGAGGCACCAGAACCCAGTGTTGTAGCAGAGCAGGGACAGGCCCCCACCACAGCGTCACCACCCACCACCCCAAAGGAAACCCAACTTGCCGAGCAACAGGTAAGACGGACCGGTTCTTCTTTTCCAGCGAACCATTCGGGGTTCGTGTGTGTGTGTGCGAGCGCCGAGCCCAAGAGAACTGCCATGAAGCGATTCCCGCGCAGGCGTTCGAGTCCTCGTGACTCCTCGAAGTCACCACCGGCTTCCAACGCTCCTCTTCTTCTGTCGTGTTGCGCAGTCAGCTGATTAACATCAACATTTGTTCAATCTGTGGAATCTAACTTTTCCTTCAGTCTGTTTCTCTCTCTCTAATCTCTCTCTGTCAGTCTCTACCGGTTCCTCCAACACTGCTAGGGGGTCGTACTGCAGCTCTTGGGCTCCTCGACACACACACTCAACCTCCCCGTCACCAACACCATCGACGAAGACTTAAGATGTAAGCAAATCTTCATCATTTCAGGGAAGAAATGAATGTACTTTTTTGACATTGCCAATTTTTTTTAGCGAGGTTCGAATCTTGGATGAGAATAACCCGTTATTTATTATTGACTTTTTGACGTTGTCTTGTGTTTAATCTTTATTATTATTATTATTATTATATTATTTATCACAATTTTTGCTTTTGTTGTACAGTTATTAAGAGAATTGCAGTCTTACCACCTTTTGCGTTTCTATTTTTTTTCAGTGGTGCATTTTGCAACAGTGTGCATCCTGTTTTCTATTTTCCTGCGTATATATATATACATGTTATTGTCTTCCGTTTTCTCTCTTTGTTACGTTTTCATTATTTTTTTACCGTTATTTTCGTCTAGTCCAATGTCAAGCCTTGTGACTCTCTCTGCTTTCTTACAATTATAACTTTTTTATTAATTTTTTATTATTGTGGTATATTATCTGCAACAAATAACGGGTTCTTCTCATGCAGGTTTGTCGCCATCGCCCCTTTGAAAGTGTGCATAGAAAACGTAGAGTGAAGCTTTTTTTCTTAATATTCGACAATAACATATGTTTCTAACGGGAATATGTGGTTTTATTTTTAACTTTCTCTTTATTTATTAGCCGTAATAATTATTTGTTTTCAGGGAGATCAAAGTGTCTTAGATTTAATTCGGTGTTATACATTTATTTACATAATAGTTAGATACTGTTGCCAATTTGAGACGTAGATATCTTAATATTATGCATCATCAGGTGTTAATTAGTAAATAATTAGGTTGTATATTGTGACTCGTGTTCAGTGATTATTATTATTATTGTAAATGTTAAATTTTTACCAGAAAATGTATGATAATTAAGTTTCCTTGAGGCCAAATGCCTGTCATTGGTGGCCGAGAAAAGGTAATTTCTGCACCTCCGGTAAGGTTTTGATTGGTGGAAGAGAAGTGACGTCATTTTGCCACAGATATTGAGCTGATTGGTAGTTGGAAGTGACGTCATTTCTTCACCACCACCCCCCAGTAGCGAACTTCTGATTGGTAAACAGAGTATGACGTGAGGCTCTCGCGAGCACCGATGCAGTTGATTGGTCTAGCCCGTCCTGCGAGCTGATCATTGATTGGTGGTAATGTAATGACGTCAGTGTGAAGAAGTCTCCCTATTGGTGGCGAACAAAAATTACATCTCGGAAGTAATTTTCTTTTGTTCTTTGACGTCAAGGAAATCACTGCCGACGTCTTATTAAACTTACAGCCTAGAAAATATTCGTTAAAAAATCAATTGTTTGCCTTCACTAACTGGTAAACAACGTTTAATTATATATATAAATCATTTAAGAGTTGAATTTGACCTTAGAAGACTTAATATGGCATTAGAGCCCGTATATAAGAGGACAGAAAGGTCAAACCTGAACACGGGTTACGTTGATTAATGCCTCGATGCCTTAGTGATGTCCCATCCGGTCTTATAGTGATGTCCTATCCGGTCCGTGTTCCTCGCAGCCAAGCTGGGACCAAATACATGTTGTTTTGGGACCAAGTAGATCTCTTATGGTGTAAATATGACCTCAGATCTTAATTAACTGTATTAAATCATATGTAAATTGTCTTCACTAGATGCTGGTGTACTTAAGATTGTATTAACGTGATATTAGTGACAACGTAGACGCTTAATAGTGTATTATTACTTAATGTTATGTACTTACAAGAGCCTAAAGTGTGGTTGAACAACTGCAAACACTTGTGTTAAAGAATTGGTAATACACTTCACTCTTATTGCTTCGCTTAATATACCTGTTTCTTGGTCTTGATTCATGACACACTTACGATACCTCTACCTGACATGACACCTCTTGTCAGCCTGTCATGACATATGACAGCTCTTGTGTGCCTCTCATGACACATCTTGCCTGCCTGTCATGACACTAACATGACACATCTTGCCTGCCTGTCATGACACATCTTGTCTGCCTGTCATGACACTAATATGACACATCTTGCCTGTCTGTTATGACACTAACATGACACATCTTGTCTGCCTGTCATGACACTAACATCACACCACTTGCCTGTCTGTTATGACACTAACATGACACATCTTGTCTGCCTGTCATGACACTAACATCACACCACTTGCCAGCTTGTCATGAATGGAGAATGACATACATTATACAAAATACATCGTGGAACGTACATCATGTATATTACCCATACAGTATACACCATATACATGTATTATACATCAGAGGATTAAGCATTATATTCCATTATATGATTAATCACTCACATGTGATCAATCATATATTGTGCATTATGTATATATGATTCATTAGGTACAAATGTTTCATTATGTACATATGATTAATGACTCAGATTATTCATTACTCATATATGATTCATAACTCATATGATTAATTATGAACATCAGATTAATCAGTCATACAAATCATTAATCATATATTATTCATTACTCATGTATGATTCATTACTCATGTATGATTCATCAGTCATATATACCATTACACATATATGATTCACTGTTCATATGATTCATCATTCATATATATGATCATATATATGATCATATATATATATATATTCATATATATCATTCATCATTCATATATATGATCTATTACTCATATAACTAATTACTCATATAATTCATTAGTCATATGATTCATTACTCATACGATTCATCACTCATACATGATTCATAACTCATATATGACTCACTATACACTTAACCTCTTATAAATCAAACACCTTATATCACACACCTCATTGTAAATCATTCATCAAGCATCATTTATCATGAATCATAGCATACTACTCCAGATAGTACATATCTCACATACCATACAGCATATTATTCAACATATTTCACAATATCATACCTCCTATATGGTACATTATTCACTCTTGACAGTATACTCTCTTCCACTTCGTCAGTGTTGCCTTAGGGGGATCAGTGTAGACAGATTCTGTTAGTAAGTGTACATTCTTAGAAGAACAGTGTTATACAATAATTGAAAAACTGTTCTTCATTTTCTGATCAGTGTTATGCTGTATTTCATGAAGTGTATCTAACGTTTAGATCAGTGTATTCAAGACTTCTATAATTCGCCCTTACAGGCATGTCATTATTGAATTTCATTATAGTTCTATCTGCATATAATGCCGTGATTCTTATTTTCCTATTGCTTTCATTTATTTTCAAAGAATTATGGAAAATCTGTTGATCGATCGATTCATGTTCAGTCAATCAATTCATGTTAGGTTGAGCAATTAATGTTCGGTCGATAGATTCAGGTTCAATTGATCAATTAAAGTTCAGTCGATCGATTCATGTTCGGTCGATCGATTCATGTTCGGTCGATTGATTCATGTTCGGTCGATCGATTCATGCTGGATTCATATTACCTCATATTTTTTTTTTTTTCGTGTGATTCGAGTGGAAACAAAGACTAATTATTTTATTAATATATATATATATATATATATATATATATATATATATATATATATATATATATATATATATATATATATATAATTGTAGATAAATCTTTTAACAGAGATTATGATCTTCTTTTGTAGTTGTAGAAGTAGTATAATATACCTTTTTTATATCGTTATTTGATATATTAATATAAACATTGGTCATAATTATTATATAGTGATGAAACCCCCGACCAGCTGACTATTATCACTACCATATATGTTGATCAGATATCCCTATACGGCTGTTATTAGTAAACATTACACCAATGTTCCTCAGCCTCCACTACTGTGTACAACACATGTCCTACATAGGAACCTTTTGGGTTAGTTAGTGCTTGGTAAATGTTATTTATGTTATATCATACCGTTCTTATACTGTAAATATTTGCTGATGTGATTACCCCTTACGATTGGTGTAAGTAAACATTACTCATTTCAATCATTTTTTTCGATTATTTGTTTTTGTTTGTTTAAAGATTACTCAGAATCATTGACGATTAATTTAAAATTTGACTCATTCATATCCTCCACAAAACGCTGGTTCACGTACTTGACAGGACCTCGCTGAGGGACTGTTGAAGGCAGACGCTAGCCCCGTCTCGGAGGCGCTCTTGACGGATCCCGACGCCTGTGTAGTTAAGTCTGAGAAAATCTATCCCATGGAAATCGCAGAAGCCGAAAGTAGACGCAAAGGGGATAACAAAAATCATTTTGTCAAGGGAGGGCTGAAGGGTCTTGAAGCTTCCCACGAAAAAGGGTTTGCTGGTAGAGCAGCTGATGGTTCTACTGCTGGGCAAAGGAAGTGTGAAGTTCGTACTGGTGACGCGAAGAGGGCCCAGGGAACGTCTGGTTTCCAGGGTGGAGAGAACGCCGGCCGGGAGATAAGCCAGAAGGAAGGAAAGATAGAGGCTTTAACATCAGTGCTTGGCGGAGCATCGCAGGACAACCACGACCTGATGGGCTTAATGAAAACAGTGGTCGAAGAAGGTTCCAAAGACTCACACACTCAGGAAGGCGAGGTTGCTGAAGACACAAGCTCAACGAAGAAATTTGGAGAGATACAGTGGGAAGAGGAAGTTGATTTCTGGTCACAGTGGGAGGAGCCAGTGAATACTGTGAAACTTGAGAGCGAGCCTTCAGAGAGTCACTGTGGTGCCCTGGGAGAGGGGGGCCCTGAAGGCAGTACTCTAGGTGGAGTCCAGGACGCTTCTATTGAGATGACAGACTTAGAGAGCGCCCAAGAGAAGATAATAAAAGAGAACTTCGCCTCGGGAGAGATAATAGAACCACAAGGACTCGAAGTAACAAAGCTAAAGATGGACACAGCGACAGAAGAGAAGGCGACAGTCTTCGGAATGAATGTGGGAGAAAACATTCATCCCACAGGAGACGAGGAACAAGAGGAGGCGGCGACAGAGTTTGACTTCTGGGCCGAGCGTGAGACTTCCCCGCCAATACTAACTCCTTACGCCAACGAGATTATGGACGACGGAACAGGACAAAGAAGCAGTGAACGGAAACAAGAAGGAAAAGAGGCGTTGGAGAGCACTACTGAAGACACTGGAAGCTTTAGTAAACGTGAAGGATACACAAAGGGAGGAAACGAAGAAGGTAGGAATAAAAATAAAGCCAAGAGAACAGGAGCACAGGAGGACACAAGGACTTCAGGTAAGGCTACGCAAGGAGCAGCAACGTCCACGCCTGAACCTATATGCTATAGTGGCCAACCATGCAAAGTAGATAAGATAAATATAGAAGAGACTGGTAAAACTGGTAAAACACGTGAAAGAGCAGATGAAACGTGTGTATCACAACTTGGATCAGTGAGTGAGCCAGCAGCCAGTGATTTCACAACAGCAGGGAAGGACTTGAGTGCGTCTCGAGTGCCTCAAGGCACTCGCTCAAACCCGGAAACTCATCCTCTGACACCTCCCTCGAGAGGTCTAGAAGTAGGCAGGGGAAGTCACAAGTTTGCCTCGAAAGCGTTGAAGGTGAGAACACAAAAAGCGGTCAGAACCTCTGAAAGGAGAGACGATGACCTGCCCATCAAGACAGCAAACGACTCTCCTGAGAAAGGTCTTGTTCCAGACGACGCTGCCAACCAGGCGGGACCTGGGAGCGGGTCTGGAGCTCCAGGAGACGAGAAACAAGATGAAACTAAAGAAGAAGAAGCGTTTGATGATGGAGGATTCTGGGCTGGTCGAGAGGGATCACCACCATTACGTCGAAAGCCGATGCTTCAAGGACTTGACGCGGGTGTTGGCGTGTCGGACCCAGCGACCGTGGGAATGGTGGACTCAGCGAGTAAGGGAACGGCGGACTCAGCGAGTAAGGGAACGGCGGACTCAGCGAGTAAGGGAACGGCGGACTCAGCGAGTAAGGGAACGGCGGACTCAGCGAGTAAGGGAACGGCGGACTCAGCGACCGAGGGAATCGTGGACTCAGCGAGTAAGGGAACGGCGGACTCAGCGACCGAGGGAATCGTGGACTCAGCGACCAAGGGAATCGTGGACTCAGCGAGTAAGGGAACGGCGGACTCGAGGACAAAGTCATACACCAACAACGAAAATAACTCTAAAAATAGGAAAAAGGAAGAAGTGAAAGGTGGTAGTGGGACGAAAGAAGTGACTAGAAGAGAAAAATGGGGGAATATCCGATCGAAGAGGAACAAATCACCGACATCAGCCCCGGAGCCAAGCTCGGCAGTGGACGCTGCCTGCCGGCGGCCCAGCCAGCAGTCTCCGCCTCACATAACGGGAGATAGCAGAGAAAACGATAACAAAAATAACGAAAATATTCTAAAACGAGAGGCTTGGAGCAAAAATATGGACATTAAAGTAGGTACGTCGACAAAACCAGGAGCAATTAAAAGTATCGACAAAATAGGAAGCAGTAATATCAAATCGGAAATCCAGGAACCTCCTTTTGTGGACTCAGAAACTGTAACAGAAGAAACAGATGAGATCGATTTCTGGGCAGACAGAGATCATTCACCTCCTCCGGGAACTGAAGGATTATTCTTGCAGTCCAGAGCTCTCCTGTGGCCGCGAGTGGACCTACAGCCTCCAGGGACATCAGACGACACCACGGTCGCTGGGCATCAGGCCGGGGCACAACCGGAGGCCCACAGTGCGGGCACCAACACAAATGACAAAGCTAACCCGAGGTCAGATACAGTGGCAGATGAAGCTGACACTGGCAGCGTGACAGCCAAGGATGGTGCCAGAAGCGTCTCTCCCACCAAACATGAGCCTGTGCCAGACTCGTGTCAGACAGCGTCGCAGGAAAGCCGACAGAAGAAACTCAGTAAAAAGAACAGGAAGACCTTCTTCCAGGGTGGGTGGAGGAGCAAGAGGGAAGAGGAAGATAACCCGGCTATTAAGGAAGAGAACTTGGCTGTAAAGGAAGAGCAGAAATGTCTATCCAAAAAGGGAAGTCAGCCCTCAAGTGCCACTAAGAATGGTGTGTCTGGTCAGCCCTCAAGTGCCACTAAGGATGACGTGTCTGGTCAGCCCTCAAGTGCCACTAAGAATGGTGTGTCTGGTCAGCCCTCAAGTGCCACTAAAGATGACGTGTCTGGTCAGCCCTCAAGTGCCACTAAGGATGACGTGTCTGGTCAGCCCTCAAGTGCCACTAAAGATGACGTGTCTGGTCAGCCCTCAAGTGCCACTAAGGATGACGTGTCTGGTCAGCCCTCAAGTGCCACTAAGAATGGTGTGTCTAGTCAGCCCTCAAGTGCCACTAAAGATGACGTGTCTAGTCAGCCCTCAAGTGCCACTAAGAACGGTGTGTCTAGTCAGCCCTCAAGTGCCACTAAAGATGACGTGTCTGGTCAGCCCTCAAGTGCCACTAAAGATGACGTGTCTAGTCAGCCCTCAAGTGCCACTAAGGAGGACACACCTGTCTCTCTTCCGGAAACAACTTGGAGAACAGAGGTAAATGAAGAAACTTATGACTTAAGTCGGCTGTTAGAACCCAGTCATGAGTTAGAAGACGAAGGAACTGACTGGATTGCACAGTTTTGGGCTGTGAAAGAAACGTCTCCCCCAGCAGGAGAGAAGACGCCGCTGGCCTCCGTCAAGCAGGACCTCGACACACCGATAAGGGACGAACACACCAAAGAAGCAGAGTCACATATTCCCTCCAAAGGAAAAAACCCTGAAAGTTCTTTCAAGGATCCAGACATTCTGCTAAAAAAAGGAAAAGCTGAAGGTTACCCAAAAGATGTTGAATTAACTGCTAAAATGAGTTCGGAAAATATTCCTCTAGAAGATATCGTAGCAATAGATGGAACACTGGAGGAATCAAACGCTGTTTCCAAGAAGCCACCGCCACCATCTGAATACCTAAATGTGCCTGAGGTGCACAACACAGCCACTCATAATAATGTAATCCAGGAATGTAATGAAACGAAATCATTGGAGGAGGTTGGGAGGATTAGGGCCGAGGCTTCCCCAGGGAGGTCGTGGAGGAACATGAAGCTGGACCATTCACCCTCAGGACCTCGGGCCACCGACGTGTCTCAACGACACTCGGTGCCGATAATTGTGGCCCCGACAGAGAGGTCTGATAACCCGGTTCGCACCACAGGGAAGGGCTTCTCAGAAGGCAATCGGCGAGATTCAATAAGTCGTCCATTTCTGACCTACGAGGCTCTTGATCTGCCAGTCTTTCAAAACAGCTCATTCCAAGGACTTCAGACGTTTAAGACCAAAGGAAAAGACGTAACAGGATCCCTTCCCATCTTAGCCAGAACCGCCGACGCTGAGAAGGTCATGCAGAAATACAGGCGTTTCCGTGTGCAGCTTCCTCCCGACGGTGAAGAGGACGATGTGAATCTCGACTTATGGTTTGACAGCGACGTGCGGCAGCCGTCTCCCGTACGGGTGACGTGTTTCTTGGGCCAAGTGGTGGACAGCTCGTTGAAAAGAAAGGTTGGGTTTATTGGTGCCAGGAACAGGTCTCGCCATAGGACGAAAGGAGGAAGAAGCAGGTCCACACCCGCAAGCTCTTTGCATGGATTGTATTCAAAATCCGGGGATAAGCCCAGTTATCCAGGTGGAAGAGAAGCAAAGTCCGCTATGGACCTTCTGACAGAAGAAGGACCCCAGATATCAAGCAGAGTTAGCAAGGGCAGTAGCGGTAAGACTAGTGACCTTGCAAGACGAACGACTCAAGCAACACATAACGACTTGTCTTCAGCTGAGGGTACAGGCGAGAACACGCCAGAGAGGCAGAATAGACTGATTGCTAAGGGAGTGAAGAAGGGCTCATTGGCCCTATTAAACAGGGACTCGACCCCTCGAGGAAAGGGAGCCACAGACAAGGGCCAAGAACTTACCCCTACTCCTTTGCCCAGTAAAAGACCCAGAAAATCGAGGGTAATGATGTTTTGATAGAAGAGTCACAGCGGGAGTAGCGAAGTCACATACTATCTGCTACAGAGGCACCTGCCAAATTTCGTAGGACAGAATAACTTTCTTAGTTTAATGTTATAAAAACAATGTTTGCGCTGCATTCAAGGAGCCTTCCCCCTCCCCTATACAAAATAATATTGATGGCATAACAGTAACGTAGGAAAGTAGGCTTTTTCGCGCCATCGGCCGCCGGCGGCAACTGTAATCATTCGGCGGCCATCGTCTTGACGCAACGCTCCGACCATAGACACAAAATACCTTTTTTTCTTAAACCCCGGTCGTAGTGTAGAGAAGTTTTCTGCCAACCCTGTTCTAATTATTTCCCGCTTCAGGCACAGATTTCTGAATTTCATTCCAAAGTATATTTTTCCTTCTTTAACTCGATTGTGTAACTCTCTTGTGCCATCTTGTATCTAGAGACTTATCGCTTTGTATAGAAATAAAGAGCAGTTATAAACTTATCGCTTCTATAACCTAAACTTACAAAAAGCTTTTTTTTTTTTTTAATTTACAATTTGGCAAAAGCGTCTTTGTAGCAGGTAATTATTTTTCAGTATATCAGTCGGCTTTCTGCGCAGTTCTATGTTCGTTCTACGCTAACACTTATCCGCTTTAATACTTGAAGTCGTCGTAATCTTTTTCTGGCTAAATCACTTACAAAGTCCTTCATGCATTTGAAGGGTAACTTGAACAGACTGAGGCTGGTAACTAGTGTGATTGTGGTGTAAGTGTAGATGTAAATGTAGATGGAAGCGTAGATGGAAGTGTAGATGTAAGTGTAAATGTAAGAGTAGATGCACATGCAGGTGTAAATGCTGAAGTGGGACTGGATAAAAGGTATAGGCAAAGTGGCTATTGTACACATAGGTGTGGGTGTTGTGGATAAAGGTGTAGATGGTGGTAATAAGTTATATAGTCAGTTTTGGTGTGATGTGTACAGGATACACCCAACACTACCAATACCCCCATGGTACACTTCACAGTACCAACACCCCGTGGTACTGGTACACTACATAGTATATCCAGTTACAAAGACAGTTTTAGCCTGTTCCGGCAATTCCTACTTCTTCTTTCTTTCTTTTCCTTTCTTCTTCCCTTCTTTCATCTTCCTCCTTCCTCCTCTTTTCTTCTTTCTCTAATGGTTTTCTGCCTCCAGACTTCCTCGTCCTATTTAGGGCTCCTCGTCTACTCTAGAGTCATTAAGGCGGCTCTACGACCCCTCATAGCAGCTCTAACGACCTTCTGGAATGGTCGTCAAGATACACTTAGAAAACATTTAGTGAAGACCGAGTGTGTGGTAAAGTCTTTACAACAATAAGTGGCTTAAAGCACTTTTAATAAATTACGTTTATTTTGCTTACATGATGAGGTGGAATATGAGGACACATGAGGTGGAATATGAGGACATATGATGTGGAATATGAGGACACATGATGTGGAATATGAGGACATATAATGATGAATGTGAGGACATATAATGTTGAATGCATATACTTGGGGTAGATTAGTCCAGAAGTAGAATAATCATGAGGTGGAGTGGCCCTATATGAGGTAGAGTAGTTATGAGTACTCATTGGCTAGTTATAATGTTGCTTCCCCATCTTCAACTACTCATTAAGTAACAATGTAAGTACTTAAGCTCTAAGTCTCCCTCTTCCGACCTTAAGGAGACTCGGGTACTTAGCGTCTGAATTTAACACAACTTCTAATCAAATCTCTGTTGCGTACGTTATCTCTTTAAGTTATTATAAACACGTGCTTTAATGCTATTTTGTAAACAACAAATATCTTCTGCGTGACAGACAATTTCTTCTTGGTTAATTTATTTTTTTTGAGTTTAAGCTTGTTTTTTCTTCTCTGGGATGAACTGGAGTAAAGGAATTAAAAACCTAAATAGTAATTACTGAAAGGGTAAAATATAGCTCAATATTTTTTTATGGGGATATGTTATCCTCAGAAAATATATATAAATCCTATATTTTTCCCTGGAATTATTTGTAAATAATTTGACCATGACTTGTTTTCAAGTCTTTTTTTTAAATAAAAGTGAATGTTTTACAAAGTTAGTACAGTGTATTTTAATATATTTTTTCATTCTTACATTTGACCGTTGATTAATGGTCTATTTTAAACACACACACACACAGATATATATATATATATATATATATATATATATATATATATATATATATATATATATATATATATATATATATATATATATATATATATATATATATATATATATATATATATATATGCGGAAAATCCACAGAGAAATAGAAAAGAGAGATAAACGTTTCGGCCGATCTGGGTCTTTGTCAACACCGGACTCAGGTGTTGACAAAGGCCCAGTTCGTCTGGCCTTTTCATCTCTCTTTTCCATTTCTCTGTTTCTCTGTGGATTATCCGCATACAAGTGATCAGTGTTTCATGATCGTCAATTACATATATATATATTTATATATGTGTATGTGTGTGTGTAAACTAGATATATAGGATTTAGTTTTCACTGAAAGATATCTAAAATAATGTTTCATTTAAATAAGAAAGGATGAGAATCATGCAGTCGCTTAAATACATAATGTGAGAAAGGGGCAGAAAGTGTAGGCCCTCATGGCTCAATGTGTCGTGTTGGTAAGGAGGGTGAGATAGGTAACTGTGATACATGTTGGTGAAATACATACAGTATTACATATTAAGTATTATTATTACAGTATTTGTAATAGTACAGTATTAGTACAGTAATACAGTAATAGTACAGTATTACATATTACAGTATCACATATTACATATTAGTATATAATTTCTCTAAACCATGTTATGTAAATAATCAAGATGCATTAAATATGACTTGTAAGGCCATGTTTAAGAAGACCACTCATAATTATTTAAGCACAGTTCTCCCAGGGAATGGTTCAGTTCATAATGCAGCTCTGCTCTCTCTCTCTCTCTCTCTACAGTTAACACACAATGCCTTATTTTATTTTGAAGGATAATTTGCTAACCAAGCCGTGAGGGAACTCTGACACAGCACTTCTCACAGGAACCTCATGGGGCAGTAGGGGACATTTGGAGCGAGAGAGACCTATCACCACCCTCAAAGAAGGCCAAAATCCCAACCAGAGTTGAGGAGGAGGAGACTTTGCAGGAAGCACAGGAAGGCTCTGTAACCACTGCTGGGGAGGCTGAGGCTGAGGGCCTGCAGGAGGAGGAGATCGATATATGGGGATCGCGAGGCTCCTCCCCACCACTGAGAATAGGACAAGCCACACAAGCCCAGGAGGGTACCCCATCACCGCCTTCAGGAGGACCACCTGATCAGGATCTTCTAACTGAGTCACCTGTAAAGGAGCCTGAAGAAAATGATTTTTGGGGTCCAGGAGATGTATCGCCTCCACTAAGGATAAGGGCCACTGAAGAAACTATAGAAGCTACTCCTTCACCGCCTGGCGAAGAACAGCTCGAGGAGAAACCTAGAGTTGAAGCGGAAGAAACAAGTCCTGAAGGTTCCCAACGAGAAGAAATTGATATATGGGGTTCCCGAGAGACTTCTCCGCCATTGAGGATCAGACCTGAGATCGTTGATACAGAACCCACCTCGCAGTTACCCGCCGAAAAAGCGACAACTGAAGAGCCCGAAGATGAGGAGGAGGAGGAGCAGGACTCCGACGACTTCTGGGTAGCTAAAGATTCTCCGCCACCAATTAGGAGGATAAAAATAGAGGTGGAGGAGACAGAGGAGAGGGAAGCAGAACAAAAAAATGATGGAGATGAGACCAGAGAAACGTGTCAGACAGACGACAATGACGAAGATCTCGTAGAAAGGTGGTTTGGTGCAGAAGACACTCACACCCGGGTCGTCGTCTTGGAGTCAATACAAAAGCAGGAAGAGGAGAAGTTTTGGAAATCAAAGGCCACGATTGAAGTCACTAGTGACGAGACATCGGCAGTCAGACATCAGGCTGTAGAAGAAACTGAACAGGAAATTTCCGAACAGTTCAGGCAAAACGAATCTAACGTCACCATCTGGAGCTCGGAAGCGTTTTCGACTTCGCTGAGACCACGAAGAGCAGTTCCCTTTATAGACGAAGAAGAAGAAAAAGAGCGAATCGTTACAGGTACCGAGGAGACTCCAATCGAACCGACAGAAGAGTCGCCAGACGAAGCACTGCTCGAGAGATGGTTTGATTCAGATGAAGCGAGAACACAAGTTGTGTATGAAATTGTTACAGAAGAAAGAGAACAGCTGGAACATGTTAGTGACGAAGAACATCTCTCTCCGCCTCCTAAGAGGCGCAAAAGCTTTAGAGACGAACAATTGCAAGACGTGAAGGAGGAGGAAGACGAGGTTGCGGATATTTGGGGACCAAGAGCCTTTTCGCCGCCACCGAGAAGCCATGTTATAGTGACTGAAGAAGTTACTCCTTCACCACCTAATGAAGTAGAGACTCTCGAAGAGCCAGCAGGTGAAGTTACAGCAGAAGTGGAAGTGGCTGTTGAGGAACCTACAGCTGAAACTTCTCTTGTAGTTGAAGAAATAGAAGAGATCAATATTTGGGGTTCAAGAGACTCTTCACCACCACTGAGGAGACCTGTTGCAGAAATTGAAGTTACTCCTTCGCCACCTGTAGAAGTAGAGACTCTTGAAGAACCTCCACTTGAAGCTGCTCCTTCGCCACCTGTAGAAGTAGCAGCTGTTGAAGAACCAACAGCTGAAGATGCTCCTGTAGCTGAAGAAATCGACATTTGGGGTTCTGGAGACTCTTCACCTCCACTGAGGAGACCTTTTGCAGAAGTTGAAGTTACTCCTTCACCGCCTGCTGAAGTAGAGACTCTTGAAGAACCTCCACTTGAAGCTGCTCCTTCGCCACCTGTAGAAGAAGCAGTTGTTGAGGAACCAACAGTTGAAGATGAAGATGCTCCTGTAGCTGAAGAAATCGACATTTGGGGTTCAAGGGACTCTTCACCACCACTAAGAAGACCTTTTGCAAAAGTTGAAGTTACTCCTTCACCGCCTGCTGAAGTAGAGACTCTTGAAGAACCTCCACTTGAAGCTGCCCCTTCGCCACCTGTAGAAGAAGAAGCCGTTGAAGAACCAACAGCTGAAGAAATCGACATTTGGGGTTCAAGGGACTCTTCACCACCACTAAGAAGACCTGTTGCAGAAGTTGAAGTTACTCCTTCACCGCCTGCTGAAGTAGAGACTCTTGAAGAACCTCCACTTGAAGCTGCCCCTTCGCCACCTGTAGAAGAAGAAGCCGTTGAAGAACCAACAGCTGAAGAAATCGACATTTGGGGTTCAAGGGACTCTTCACCACCACTAAGAAGACCTGTTGCAGAAGTTGAAGTTACTCCTTCACCGCCTGCTGAAGTAGAGACTCTTGAAGAACCTCCACTTGAAGCTGCCCCTTCGCCACCTGTAGAAGAAGAAGCCGTTGAAGAACCAACAGCTGAAGAAATCGACATTTGGGGTTCAAGGGACTCTTCACCACCACTAAGAAGACCTGTTGCAGAAGTTGAAGTTACTCCTTCACCGCCTGCTGAAGTAGAGACTCTTGAAGAACCTCCACTTGAAGCTGCTCCTTCGCCACCTGTAGAAGTAGCAGCTGTTGAAGAACCAACAGCTGAAGATGCTCCTGTAGCTGAAGAAATCGACATTTGGGGTTCTGGAGACTCTTCACCTCCACTGAGGAGACCTTTTGCAGAAGTTGAAGTTACTCCTTCACCGCCTGCTGAAGTAGAGACTCTTGAAGAACCTCCACTTGAAGCTGCTCCTTCGCCACCTGTAGAAGAAGCAGTTGTTGAGGAACCAACAGTTGAAGATGAAGATGCTCCTGTAGCTGAAGAAATCGACATTTGGGGCTCAAGGGACTCTTCACCACCACTAAGAAGACCTGTTGCAGAAGTTGAAGTTACTCCTTCACCGCCTGCTGAAGTAGAGACTCTTGAAGAACCTCCACTTGAAGCTGCTCCTTCGCCACCTGTAGAAGAAGCAGTTGTTGAGGAACCAACAGTTGAAGATGAAGATGCTCCTGTAGCTGAAGAAATCGACATTTGGGGTTCAAGAGACTCTTCACCTCCACTAAGAAGACCTGTTGCAGAAGTTGAAGTTACTCCTTCACCGCCTGCTGAAGTAGAGACTCTTGAAGAACCTCCACTTGAAGCTGCCCCTTCGCCACCTGTAGAAGAAGAAGCCGTTGAAGAACCAACAGCTGAAGAAATCGATATTTGGGGTTTAAGAGACTCTTCACCTCCACTGAGGAGACCTGAGACAAAGGTTGACGTCTCCCCACCTGCCGAAGGCCCCAAAGTTGGGGATATTGTAGTTGCTGAAAAATCTGAAGAAGTTGAAATTTGTGCCACTGGAAAAACTTCGTTGCCTTTAAGATCTGTTGTGAAGGTGGATGACGCGTCTCTTTCACCACCGGACACTGAGGCTGAAGACGCTGGACTTCCATCTGACTTCTGGTCTCGCAACGAGTCACCACCTCTGAGGCCAAAACTTGTGTTAGACTCAGTACCTGAGCCGATTGGAGTCGAGACAGCAGACGCTAGCAAAACCTCAGATGATGTCTTCTTGCTGTTTGACGAACTCGCAGAGGAGAGTAAACCGCTTCTACCAGATGGCACCGAGGATTTGTCAGGGGACTTTTGGGCCGGCAGATCCATTTCTCCGCGCACTGGGTCTAAACACTCGCAGACCCCGACGGAAGAGGCGGAAGAGGTAGACTTTTGGGCCAAAACAGGAGACGACTCTCCTCCTCTAAGACTCAAGGCTGGTGAAGTCTTCCCTGCAGAGGTTGCAGAGCTCCCTGGGGACGTTCCGTCCCCCGAGTCTGCTTCCCCCCAACGATCAAAGACTCCAACTCCAGAAGAGGAAATAGGCAAAGATAAGGAAGTGCAAGCAATGTCGCAGAAGTTGAGCGAACAATTGGTAATGTCTTGTTTGGGTGGGTTGGTTGGAATACCTCAGAGGCTGCTGGTGATAGCTGGCCGGGAGTAGCGGGCGCTCACTTTTTGAGCCTTAACGGCGCTCAACTCCTGGCACACAGGGGCGCTCACCTCTCACTGCTGCATTGTTCACACGTCTCTTCAACTCTGCATTCCCCCCAGGCCTAAAAATATAATATAATAATAATAATAAAAGTGAAATAACTAAAATTTCAAATTTCAACATTTCCGTATAAACAAGAGCACAAGGTGATCGTTCGCTTCTGTCCAACTTTGTTAAAATATTAAACATTCATTAGTAATAATCCTCAATAAAACACTTTTTAAAAGAACCGATAAAAGCAACCAATAAGCAGCCTTTGGGGTTCGTTAGGTTTGTGAAAGTAACCAGCAAGCACTCACACTCACACGAGACTCACTCACACTCACATGATGAGCCTCACTCACACTCGCGTGATGAGTTAGCACCTCCATAGTACCAGACTCATCCAGACTCAGGCAACCGGACACTCTCTGCCCCAAGTCCAGCCTCCACAGGGATTATAGCCTCTCTCAAACTATAGTGTCAGTCTGTCTTGAGTCCTGTGGTAATGTACCTAAATGATAAAGAGTTTCTTGCAGTACAATGGTGAGTCCCCAAGATGAAGGGCTAGGCACATTAAGATTCAATTTGGTCTCCGCTCCTCAGGTAGGAGAAGACGTGCAGATTAAGGAATTTGTGAGGCGGTGGAGAGTGGAAGGTTGTCTCAGCATTGCTTCACGTTATTGTGTATGTCTGTCAGCGTCCGCTCCGTTGCGAATAACGAAGTCCAATGTGATCAGACCACCGCTCCCTACCCCCCCCCCTCCCTCCCTTAAAAAAATAAGTGATTCTGTCATTGGAGGCTGGTGGATGTGCCTGTCTTGGGGGATAAGCTGGAGGCATAGGCCTATCTTGCTAGAACATAAAGATGGTTATGCAAAAACTCTCGGCCTATTTGTTTCGTTTGTATAATATTTATATATTTGAATTACGTTCAAAGAACAAACACAGACTTCGCTGAAGTTTGTTTTGCTTGCTGGTGTTTGGCTGGAAGAGGAGGAGGGGGGAAGGGGAGAGGGGGGGGGGGGGGAGGGGTGTTGCGTGGTTTGGACACAAGACAACTCGTGGAAGTGAACCTCTGCTCTGGTCGCTCATTCAGGTTCGAAACCAGTTTCACCCCCCCCCCCTCGCACCCACCGTCCACAGTGCCTCGTTCGCGGCCTCGTTCGGGGGGGGAAGGGGTATTTTGCCCCGCTGGTTATATCAGGATGGTCATCGTTCGTTATCCTGGAACACGTGATGACCCCTTGAGGTTATCTTGAAATTATCTTGAGATGATTTCGGGACTTTAGTGTCCCCGCGGCCCGGTCCTCGACCAGGCCTCCACCCCCAGGAAGCAGCCCGTGACAGCTGACTAACACCCAGGTACCTATTTTACTGCTAGGTAACAGGGGCATAGGGTGAAAGAAACTCTGCCCATTGTTTCTCGCCGGCGCCTGGGATCGAACCCAGGACCACAGGATCACAAGTCCAGCGTGCTGTCCGCTCGGCCGACCGGCTCCGATCGGCCCCTGTATGTTTACTCATCCCGTCCAGACCTTGTTTACATCGTGTTCTTAAACTACGACGCGTGTTGACACCTCTTCGTGTCGTCACTACTTGTGAACCCTTCAGTGCACCCTGTTGCTATTGATACAGATAATGGCTCCAAAGAGCCTCCATTTACGGGCTCACCATAGCCCGTGCTACCGGAACTTCTTGTTCTGAGTAGCTGAATCTAAAACAACAACAACAACAGCACACCCTGTTCATCTGTGTTCATTTATTTTGACATGTCGATGCCGGTAACTCGATGTGACATCTCCACCTTGTTTGCATACGTGTCCGGCTTGTGTAGTACATCTGTTTAAGCGTACTATGAACCACGTGGAACGTGTTTGCTTCATGTTTACACCATCTCATGTCATTACGACAACATTCAGCTCATGTTTACTACATGTCTTGTATACACCATGTCACAACCTTGTTTGCTACTTGTCAGGTCCTGTTTATAGCGTGTCAGGTCCTGTTTATAGTGTCAGGTCCTGTTTATAGTGTGTCAGGTCCTGTTTATAGTGTGTCAGGTCCTGTTTATAGCGTCAGGTCCTATTTATAGTGTCAGGTCCTGTTTATAATGTGTCAGGTCCTGTTTATAGCGTGTCAGGTCCTGTTTATAGTGTCAGGTCCTGTTTATAGCGTGTTAGGTCCTGTTTATAGTGTCAGGTCTTGTTTATAGTGTGTTAGGTCCTATTTGTAGCGTGTCAGGTCCTGTTTATAGCGTGTCAGGTCCTGTTTATAGTGTCAGGTCCTGTTTATAGTGTGTCAGGTCCTGTTTATAGCGTGTTAGTTCCTGTTTATACCGTGTCAGGTCCTGTTTATAGCGTGTCAGGTCCTGTTTATAGCGTCTCAGGTCCTGTTTGTAGCGTGTCAGGTCATGTTTGTAGCGTGTCAGGTCCTATTAATAGTGTCAGGTCCTGTTTGTAGTGTCAGGTCCTGTTTATACCGTGTCAGGTCCTGTTTATACCGTGTCAGGTCCTGTTTATACCGTGTCAGGTCCTGTTTATAGAGTGTCAGGTCCTGTTTATAGTGTCAGGTCCTGTTTATAGAGTGTCAGGTCCTGTTTATAGTGTCAGGTCCTGTTTATAGAGTGCCAGGTCCTGTTTATAGTGTCATGTCCTGTTTATACCGTGTCAGGTCCTGTTTACTACTTCAATGCTATTTAGCCCAGCATCACCTACGGTTGCACACATTGCTGGCGCAACAGCTACACTTAAAGTGATCACTTTAAAGTGATCACTTTAAAGTGATCACTTAACGTGTCACTTAAAGTGATCATTTATGCAACTATAATAACCTGTCTCTTAAACCATTTCCCAGAGAGAGACAGAGGGAGATAATTCCGTCTCGCTTCTCCTGAAAAGAGATACAGAGGCCAAAACCCGTTCCCTAAACGACCAGTCACATTAACAGTCGTTTTTAGCTTTCAACATCAATGTTTAACGAGCTCGAGTCTACATCAGTTGATATTACTGTCAGGAATGGTTCGGGAGTTCCACACGACAGGTAGACAATCCAGTTCGGTAAACGTTTAGTGTTTCATTTTATCAGTCAAACGTTTAATGACTCATTTTATCAGTCAAACGTTTAATGACTCATTTTTTCAGTCAAACGTTTAATGACTCATTTTATCAGTCAAACATTTAATGACTCATTTTATCAGTCAAACGTTTAATGACTCATTTTATCAGTCGAACGTTTAATGATTCATTTTATCAGTCAAACGTTTAATGACCCATTTTATCAGTCAAACGTTTAGCGTCCCATTTGATCAGTCAAACGTTTAATGACCCGTTTTATCAGTCAAACGTTTAGCGTTCCATTTTATCAGTCAAACGTTTAGCGTTCCATTTTATCAGTCAAACGTTTAGCGTTCCATTTTATCAGTCAAACGTTTAGCGTTCCATTTTATCAGTCAAACGTTTTAATCACCAGAATTCCATTGGTGGAGGGAAAGTGACGTTTCCAACTCGCTGAACTTAGCCACCAGAGAGAAGTTCCATGAGCTTTGTGAAGCTTTGATTGTTTGTTGTCGTATTGTTTGTACTGAGGACTTGTTTGTGGTTGCCTGTGTTAGTGCACCTCAGACCCCCTTACCCCTTGTGGGTCCCTGTGTTAGTGCACCTCAGACCCCCTTACCCCTTACATGAGAGAGAAAAGGGAGGATATCACAGGGTAGGAATAGTCGTTATTACCTTCTCGGTAACGCCACGTGGGAAGGAATTATGGAACTAGATGTGTGTGTGTGGGAAGGTTAGGCAATCCTTTACTAGTTTGGTAAGGTGATGGATTGAGGTAGGGAGCTCCTTTGACTTAAGTGAGCCCTTACTCGAGAAAGGGTTAATTAGGGTGCAGTATGCTGGCCCTGAATCACTCCTCCTGCATGTTAAACATACCAAACACTTTCTTGTCCAGACCACACACACTAGAAGGTGAAGGGACGACGACGAATGGTCCGTCCTGGACCATTCTCACAATCGAATGGTCCAGGACGGACCGAAACGTCGTCGTCGTCGTCCCTTCACCTTCTAGTGTGTGTGGTCTGGTCAACATTCTTCAGCCACGTTATTGTGACTCCTCGCCTGCATACCCAAGCACATTCTTGACTCTTAGCAAATATACATGTTTGTTCACTACACAGCATTAGTCTCGCTTTGCTAGATATAATCCATTAGTCCGAGCTGTTTGCTATATGCGTACAAGCCTCACTCACTAACACACATTACCATATACGCAACTTATATATATATGCTTACCACATGAATGCTTTACAGAATGTGTAATTATAACCAATGAGAGACGTTTGTGGTTATCATGAGAGAGGAGGAGGAGGAGGAGGGTGTAGGGAGGGGGGGGGGGAGGAAAGGGGGGGGGGAAGGGGGACGGGGAAGATGTGCAGTTTTCGGAACAGTAATTAGAAGGAAATATTCCAATATCTGGAGCACCCTGTAGAAAGTCAGAAGTTAAATCAGTTACACTTCTTGGGTCATTTCTTCTCACCAGCCGGCCTCTCTCGCGTCTCATTTCTTCCTCCTGCACCTCTTCTTGCCCCTCCTCCTGCACCCCCTCCTCCTCCTCCTCCTCCTAACCCTGCTCAGTACACGTCTCTCACATCAGCCTATGTTTTGCTAGTTGATGACGAGTGTAGCAACAAACTATTAGCAAATAAATAAAAATATATATTTGACTAAACTCAATTCTAAATCACTCCTCTCTATAATCATCCCCTGAGCCCATGAGGTGATAGTTATTTATACAGTTCTAGAGGCCTAGAAATAATATAGATATCCGCCAGAGTGATAGTCGCCTTACTTAGAGTCTGTGGGGTACTGAGGTAGACTCGAACACTCTGGCAGACTATAAATAGTTTATACATAGATGGTGCTATTCATAATGTATGTCCTAGAGGTGTAGTGGGGGAAGGGGGTTAAGAAACAGGTAGTTAGTGCCTATTACGAGCTCTAGATTACTCCTAGGAGAAGCTGTTAGGGTGCCATTGTCGACTATGTCCGTCGGTAAGGATGGCACTTGCCTGGGAATGTCAATGGTGTTGACATTGTCGAAGTTTAGTCTTGTAAAGAAGTGCCATAGTCGAATATGTGTTCCATTATGTACGTACGTCGACCATGGCACTTCTAAGGTCATATACCAGGATGCCATATTCGATAAAAGCAACGCTAGAATGCCAAGGTCAAATGTGTGTGTGCCACGAGGAAGCACTTTAGCTTATATTGTGCCATTAGAGAGTGCCACAGTCGAGTATGGCACTTGCTGCCCTCAATCTTCTCCGAGATTGCCATCGTCAAATCCTTCTCAGTCACAAGCGCATTAAACAACGTCCCCGGTGACATAGTGCCTGACACGACTGTGGCACTTATACTCTCAACAAGTTGCCATATTTCCCTTCATATAGCGTCACAGTCGAACGTGTGCTTGGAAAACGGTGCCAGTGCCAATAACATGGCACCGTAACCAACTATACTCGACTATATCCAACTATAAGGGAGCCATAGTCGACCTTGTGCCCCCCAAAAAAATTTGTCATAAGCCAGCGGTGTGCCATAGTCGACCATGGCACCCAACAGAGGCGTATAGAGGTTGCCATAAAGAGTGTTTATAGAGTTTGATGTGTCTATGGGTAGAGTCTGAAGCATGCATGTCTACACAGGCTCTACAACAACGACAACAACAAGAGGAAGAAGAAGAGAGAAAGAAGAGAGAGAGAGAACAGGCGAGGTTAGATAAGGAGCGTGAAGAACAAGAGAAGCAAGAGAAAGAGAGGTTAGAGAAAGAGAAGAAAGAAAGGGAAGAAAAAGAAAAGAAAGAGAGAGAAGAGAAAGAAAAACTAGAGAAAGAGAAGAAAGAAAAGGAAGAAAAAGAGAAACAAGAGAAAGAAAGGAAAGAGAAAGAGAGACTAGAGAGAGAGAAGAAAGAAAGAGAAGAAAAAGAAAAGAAAGAGAGAGAAGAAAAAGAAAAGAAAGAGAGAGAAGAGAAAGAAAGACTAGAGAAAGAGAGACTAGCAAGAGAAAAGAAAGAAAAAGAAGAGAAAGAAAAGAAAGAAAAAGAAGAGAGGGAGAAGAAAGAAAAAGAAGAGAAAGAAAAGAAAGAAAGAGAAGAGAAAGAAAAGAAAGAGAAAGAAGAGAAAGAAAGACTAGAGAAAGAGAGACTAGCAAGAGAAAAGAAAGAACAAGAAGAGAAAGAAAAGAAAGAAAGAGAAGAGAAAGAGAGAAAAGAAAGGGAAGAGAAAGAGAGACTAGCAAGAGAAAAGGAAGAGAAAGAAAAGAAAGAAAGAGAAGAGAAAGAAAGAAAAGAAAGGGAAGAGAAAGAGAAGAAAGAAAGAGAAGAGAAAGAGAGACTAGCAAGAGAAAAGAAAGAAAAAGAAGAGAAAGAAAAGAAAGAAAGAGAAGAGAAAGAGAGACTAGCAAGAGAAAAGAAAGAAAAAGAAGAGAAAGAAAAGAAAGAAAGAGAAGAGAAAGAGAGAAAAGAAAGAGAAGAGAAAGAGAGACTAGCAAGAGAAAAGAAAGAAAAAGAAGAGAAAGAGAAGAAAGAAAGAGAAGAGAAAGAGAGACTAGCAAGAGAAAAGAAAGAAAAAGAAGAGAAAGAAAAGAAAGAAAGAGAAGAGAAAGAGAGACTAGCAAAAGAAGAGAAAGAAAGAAAAGAAAGAGAAGAGAAAGAGAGACTAGCAAAAGAAGAGAAAGAAAGAAAAGAAAGAGAAGAGAAAGAGAGAAAAGAAAAAGAAGAGAAAGAGAGAAAAGAAAAAGAAGAGAAAGAGAGAAAAGAAAAGAGAGAAAAGAAAAAGAAGAGAAAGAGAGAAAAGAAAAGGAAGAGAAAGAGAGACTAGCAAGAGAAAAGAAAGAAAGAGAAGAGAAAGAAAGGAAAGAAAAAGAAGAGAAAGAAAGAAAAGAAAGAGAAGAGAAAGAGAAGAAAGAAAGAGAAGAGAAAGAGAGACTAGCAAGAGAAAAGAAAGAAAAAGAAGAGAAAGAGAAGAAAGAAAGAGAAGAGAAAGAGAGACTAGCAAGAGAAAAGAAAGAAAAAGAAGAGAAAGAAAAGAAAGAAAGAGAAGAGAAAGAGAGACTAGAGAGAGAGAAGAAAGAAAAAGAAGAAAAGGCGAGACTAGCAAAAGAAAAGAAAGAAAGAGAAGAGAAAGAAAGGAAAGAAAAAGAAGAGAAAGAGAAGAAAGAAAGAGAAGAAAAAGAGAGGCTAGAGAGAGAAAAGAAAGAAAGAGAAGAGAAAGAGAGACTAGAGAGAGATAAGAAAGAACGAGAAGAGAAAGAAAGGAAAGAGAGAGAAGAAAAAGAGCGACTATTGAAAGAGAAGAAAGAAAAAGAGGAAAAACTGAGAAAAGAGAAAGAACAGAAAGAAAGACTTGAAAAGGAAAAAAGAGAAAAGGAAGAGAAAGAAAGAAAGGAAAAAGAAGAAGAAGAGAGGCTAGAAAAGGAAAGAAAGGAAAAGGAAGACAAAGAAAGAAAAGAAAAAGAGGAGCGAGAAAAGAAAGAAAGAGAAGAACGAGAGCTAAAAGAGAAGGCGGAGAAAGAGAGGCTTGATAAAGAGAGAAAACAAAAGGAAGAAAAAGAAAGGAAATTGAAAGAAGAGAGAGATTTAAAAGAGAAAGAAGAGCTAGCAAAGAAAGAGAGAGAAGAGAAAGAGAGGAAGGACAAAGAAGAGAGAGAGCGAGCCAGTAAGCCCCGAACCATGGACAAGTTATTGGAAGACCAGACTAAGGATTCCGACTCCTCGGTCGAGGACGCCTTCGAGATGATGGCCCAAGACGCTGTTCAGGACGAGGAGGAGCAGCAGGAGGTAGAGGAGTTTTGGGCAGGGAGGGACGTGGCTTCTCCTGAAGCCACCAAGGACTCCGAGGAAACCAAGACTAAAGAAGCCAAGCCCAAGGAGGATTCGAAGCCTCAAGCCGCGCCCCAGAAGCCTACTGAAGCCCCGAAGTCGGTAAAGAAAGAAGCTGAAACTATCGTTTAATCCTCTCCATTTATTATTTATTTTCTCAATTATTTAATATTTTTGTTAATTTTTCATTGCTGTCTTTTATTTTTTTTTCAATGGTGTTTATCTGTTTTGTTTTGTTTTTCTTCTTTGTCTCGAATTTCGGTTGCCGGAGACGACTCGCCCGTCAATCAATAATTTCCTATTTGATTCTGCATTAAAATAACCCGTGTGCTACTACTCTTTTCTTAACAACATTAAAAATAAATTATAACAACTCAATAGTGCAAAAATTAAAGTAATAACCATAACATTTTTAAAAGAGAAAATGATAAAAATATTAATTCAAATATAAAATGGCAATCTTGAAGCCAAGAATTTGGCGGGCCTGTCATAGACTCTTTACAGTGTTGTCAAAGTTCAGGTTTATTAGTGTAATTATTTTTTATTATTTCAGCTTAAAATATAATTAACAGTCTATATAACGCTTGTCTTATTTCAGTGCTACTAAGCTGTGCTATGGATGAAACTTGCTGCTTATTTTAATATCTTAATTGGAGTATATTTTACAAAAATGGTGTTTATACAAACTATTATATTATTTGGTTCAGATTATTTCTTGTATTTTTGTGAGTGCGAACGAGCAACAATTTACGTACATAGTACACTGTTTATGCCACATTGTAATATCAAAATATTGTATGTATTCATCAAATTAGTTGAAATAATGTTAGTTTATTTAACTGGATACTATGGCAACACATGTTTACTTTAATTCCCTGCTCTCTATGTGGCAACACGGAGTTCGAGTTAAAAAAAAAAACTCCTATTTTTATTTTTTTCACGTTATTTTTCTTCCTTGTTTATTGTAGGTTGTATTCCTCCCTGTATTTATTACGTTTTTTGTTTTGCACCGAACGTTATGTACTGATGTGTGAAGAGTGTTGTTGTTCAGAGCAAGAGTGGCGCATGTAACGCTCTAACATGGCTGAGGTGTATATACTAAATGAATTTAAATTTCCCTTCTTCCAATTAACTCATGTTTAATTTCTTTAAAACATTGTATATTCGGTAAGTTTAAATAAAAAAATAATGCTTTATCTTATGACACGTAGTATTTTCCCCATAATATATAACATTTTCCCACGATACATAATATTTTCCCACGATATATAACATTTTCCCACGATACATAACATTTTCCCACGATACACAATATTTTCCCACGACACCAAATTTTTCCCACAATACTAAATATTTTCAAATGAAAACCTTTTTAAGACACATAATATTTTCCACGACACCTAATTTTTTCATTCGAATTTTACATTCTCTCCGGGACTCTTAATATTTGGGCGCGAGGCAGTATTTCCGCACACAATCCAAAAAATTCCCGCGAAACCCAATATTACACAACGGAATTTAACATTCCTCCACGATCTATAACCTTTCTATTCCAAACACCTTCCGTTACATTTAGCTATTTTCAATATCATAAAATAGAAAGTCCTTAAGGTTATATATATCCTTTAAATTTTCCCCTCGCTCTTACCACACACGTCTATACTAACATACTTAACTAATGAAGCTAATCTTAACGCTAAGTCCTCAGAATCGTATATGTTATTTGAACTTGTGAAATTTGAGTCAACAAAATTTATATTGATTAATTGAAGGCTTCAGAATATATATTGTTCATTGGTAGTCAGTAGCCGAGAACAGTTTATGTTGGAGAACATTAATGTCACAGTACACATGTTCATATTTTGTTACACTTAATTGAGAAATTAACTTAAATTTCTGGAGTTCCAGATTTACATATACACTCTAAGGCGACATACTTATTTTCATATATACACACACATACAGGGATATACACTGAGAGGTGTATATCACGCTTCTCGGTGTGTATACAGTGAGAAAATACTTTAATCCTGGACTAAAGTATTTTTGCTGGTTGGTCAGTAAGCTGTAGTGGCCCTTAATAATCCTCCAAAAGTTGATGGCCCTTCAGCTCTCAACATCACACACACACACACACACACACACACACACACACACACACACACACACACACACACACACACACACACACACACACACACACACACACACACACCTGCCGTATAAACAAGGATCCCTTACCAGTTCCACCGCTGATCTGTTGAAACCTCTTTTTTCCAGGAAACGACCAAGCCTGCTCCTGAACCCTCGAAGCCAGTAGTTGAACCCCCGAAACCGGCTGCAGCCAAACCCGAAGCCCCAAAACCAGAGCTGCCAAAGCTTGCGGTGCCTAAGCCCGAAGCTGCAAAACCGGAAGTGAAGGCCCCGCCCCCCAAAGTCACCACCTCAAAGAAAATGGAGGAACCGACAAGTGAGTTGTGATGTCTTGGGTCGTGTCTTAGAGCGACTCATCCTCATACATCCTGCTGTATGCGTTGTATTCTCTGTGTACTCACCTAGTTTCACTCAGCTAGTTGTACTCACAGTTGTATTCATCTAGTTGTACTCACCTAGTTGTACTCACCTACTTTCACTCACAGTTGTATTCATCTAGTTGTACTCAGCTAGTTGTACTCACCTAGTTGTACTCACCTAGTTGTACTCATCTAGTTGTATTCATCTAGTTGTACTCACCTAGTTTCACTCAGCTAGTTGTACTCACCTAGTTGTACTCACCTAGTTGTACTCACCTAGTTGTACTCATCTAGTTGTATTCATCTAGTTGTACTCACCTAGTTTCACTCAGCTAGTTGTACTCACCTAGTTGTACTCACCTAGTTGTACTCACCTAGTTGTACTCATCTAGTTGTATTCATCTAGTTGTACTCACCTAGTTTCACTCACCTAGTTGTACTCACCTAGTTGTACTCACCTAGTTA